TGAAGCTAAATCCCCCTAGCGATTTTTAACATGGACAGCTTTTAAGCTGGTCTCTCCCATCAGCTATATAGTCATTGATTATTTGATTCAAAATGCTGGTGTCGTCATTGATCTTTGTTGAAATTAATCTGGTTGGCTTTACCCATGGTTATGACCTGTTAAATTCCTTTTGACTCCTACAGACCTCAATTCATAGTAGCTCTGTCATTTAGAAATCTGAAGAGGTTGCTTTAAAATTATCAGCAGTAGCCTTATCATCACCATCACCATCATCATCCTCCATATCATGGGATCCAAATGGAAGAAGGTTAAACAAAAGCAATAATTTGTTGGTCTGCAGAGTCAAAGGAAGAACTGAATGACTAAACCACAGAAAAAGGCAAAAGCAAGGCCAGTCCTCAGTAAGAATTAGGACAAGAACTTGAACTCCATCAGATTTCCCTTTCCTTCTCTCTTCTCTTTCTGTGTGTCAGCCTGCTTCCTCCCTAACGACAGTCTGGCTTTTTCCCACAGCAGAAAGCATGGCTGCCAACAGCTCCTGAGATTTATTTGTTGCCCCTTCAATTTCTTTGAAAGAGATTGATCTGGTCTCAAGAGTGAAAATCCAGGGAAGGGAAAAAGGTGTCCGATATCATTAGCCAAGAGGGGAAACACAACTCAAAACCACAATGAGATACCACTTCACACCCACTAGGATGACTAGAATCAAAAGACAAATAGTAGCAAGTGTTGGTGAAGATATGGAGAAATTGGAACTCTAACTTATTGCTAGTGGGACTGTAAAATGATACAGCCACTTTAGAAAACAGTTGGACAGCTCCTCAAACTGTTAGCGTTACCATATGACTCCTAGAAAAAATGAAAACGTGTCCACACAAGAACTTATACACAAATTTTCATAGCAGAATGTATTCCTAACAGCCAGAAAGTAGAAAAAAAAACAAATGTCTATCAACTACAGAATGAATAGACAAAATGTGGTCTATCCACATAATGGGAAGTGATTCAGCCATAAAAAGGAATGCAGCACATGGATGAACCTTGAAACCTTAGCAAACACAAAAACCATTGAATCGTATGATTTAAGTGGATGAATGTTATGGTATGTAAATTATATCTCAATAAAGCTGTGAAGCCCAGACAAGGAGCCCATTCACCCAGTTTGAGTCAGATGCCCTAGTCTGAACTTCCTGTGACTCATGGGAGGCGGGGCTTAAAGAGAAGGTTTGTTGAGAACATGGCAGCTCCTCTGAGAACCAGCTCCTGTGGACAGAGTGCATGTCATAATGGGTGAGGGACACACCTCCAAGGCGAGTTCGGGTATGAGCAGATGGAACACTAAGTGCCCACCACATTGGCTGTTTATTGAGAATTTACATTTACCCAGACATGGCATTAAGTGCTTCTTCTGAATTATAATTCTCACAACAACCCTGTTAAGTTGAGACTATAAAACCCATTTTATATTGGTAGAGGCTCAGGTTAAATAACTTTCCCAAGGTCATTTAACTATCTTAGTAAATACTGTGGCGCTGGGGCTCAACCCTGGATCTGACGCCAGCCTCCTCTCTCAACCATTAAGCCATGCTTTCTCCCTCTGGCTTTATATGAGCTTTTGGAAAATTCTGGAACACGTGACTGGAGACCTAACTGTAGGTCCGTGTGTATTTCATTTACCCTCTCACTAAAGGAGACCATTCTAACATGAAAACCATGCACTTCCTTTGCTGGTGTAGGACCATTGTTGGTAACCTTTGAGGAGCGCCGGAAGACAGGAGATGGTTGTTCAGCCCCTACTAGCCACACTGCTGTCCACACCACATTCCTCCAGCTTGCTAAGGCTGTAAAGAGCTGGGACAAAATCACCGCTTGCTGAAATTACAATGCTGTAGGTCTGTAGCAGTCTCCAGACCCACAAGCCAGTTAACCCTCTCAAAACCAGAAATAAGGTTAATTTGCCAAGATGGATGCTTAGCGAACCAGTACAGTTTCTTTTCCAAACGTTTGCCAGCTGTCCACTTAATAATCTGCTCTCAAATTCTGCCAGAAATTTAATGGCAGAATTGACGGACGCCAAGCCTGTTGGTCTGTGGTTTCTCAGGCCTCCTTTCCCTTTCTTTAAAAACACAACAGTCTTCTGTCAGTCTCTGGTCCCTCAGTATATCTCTGCTGCGTCATGATTTCTCAGCGATCGCGGGCAGTGACGCTGCCTCTCCATCTGCACGTCCCTCCTGTCTCCATGGTGGAGTCCAGGTGGGCCTGTGAAGTGAATCCTGGAGACAGCTGGTTGTTCGCCTGCTCTGCCATCACTCGCCTGCTCTCCCGTCCCCTACCTCAAGCTCCCGACCCTTTTTATCCACATTTGTTCCAGCCTTCCTGTGATAAAGCATGTTCTTCTCGGTGGAGAAGGCAAGAGCGCATGGGAGTTGAGTTGTTGTGCTTTCTATCTTCTGTTGCCAGCAGACCATCTGCCCTAGCAGTTGGCATAACTGTCCTCATTCTTTCTGCCAGTGGGTAAAACAACCTTTCTGTCATCCTTAGCATTTTTTTTTAAGATTTTGTTGGGGAATTGGGGAAGGGGAAGTGTTAGGGAATTGGGAAGGGAAAGAGCCAAGTTGTTGTCTTTCAATCTTAGTTGTGGAGGGTGCAGCTAGCTCAGCTCCAAGTCCAGTCGCCATCACGCTGCCCATCGGCAGCTTGCGGCCACTCAGCTCAAGATGCCGTGTTCAGTCTTAGTTGCCAGTGGGTGCTGCCTACCATCCCATGCGGGAGTCAAACCAGCAACCTTGTTGTTAGGAGCACGTGCTCTCACCAGCTGAGCCATCCTGCCACCAGCTGGCAGCTCAGCGCCAGCTCAGCTCCGTCGCAGCTCACTGGCCCATGTGGGAATCCAACCAGTGACTCTGTTGCTCAGAGCTCATGCTCTTAACTGAACCACTCAGCCACACCCCCTTAGCATTTTTCACCAGCTTCAATCCCTCTGAGATGTAGCCTTCCTGACACTGTTCTTGCATAGTCATGCCACGCTTCATTTTCATCCATGGTCATGTACACAATGTCCACCTTTCCATTATATCATCTGAAAACCCCAGCTAATGTGATTTAACTGTAGGGATCATTGGGATAATTTGGGATGTGGGACAATCAGTTGTGTTTTTAAAGCTTCCTAGCAACAGAGACCATGGTTATTAGAATGCCAAGTAAAAGTAATCATATCTATTGTTTATAGAGCTGTGTATGTCACAATAGGATTATGACCTTTTACTCTTATTATCTTCATTTTATAGACAAGGAAACTGAGGCCCATGGTAATATTCCCCCAAGGTCACACAGTTATTTTATGGTGGAGCTGGGTGGGTCTTGAACCCGCATTGTCTAACTCCAGAAGCCAAGTTCTCAGCCAGGTCACTCTTGAGCATCATGGCAGACAAGGCAAACCCAGTGTCCAAGTTCCACAAGGAGCTATCCCAGACGTTAAGGTCAGTGGCATGAAGGAGATAGCTTGAACCGGGACAAAGGACCTGGACACTGAAGGAAAAGGAAGATAGTTCTCAAAACAGGAGCCCAATTCATAGGTTGTTGAGAGGTTTCAACGACATCAAATGTGTGCCAACCACTGGTGTGGCTGCCACAGAGCCCTCAGGTGTAGGAGGTGAGGACCTCATCTTCTGAACCGGCTCACTCCATCCCTTCCACATCTCTCTGGAGCCCAGGACACCTGGGTCCCCTCAAAACAAGTGGCTTTGAGCCTCACTATTTCAGCACCAACCATTCCTGGTCATCCTAAGCCTGTTTCTGCCCTGAACACCCAGGGGCACCGAGGCCAGGGAAAGGGTGTTTCTGGCTTTGGCCAAAGGAGTGATAACAGCTCCTTGCTTAATAAGTCCTTTAAACTATCTCAGTTGACCACTAAATTATCTCACTTGACCACTCTTGAGAGTGTCTCACTGATTAGAGGACAGAGGCTCAGGCCTGCCTGCCCGGGGCTGAACAGGACCCAGGCCAAGTCGGTCCCAGGGGGCAACTGCCACGGTGTGAAGTGCTTAAGAGAGTTTCTGAAAGCTCTGAGTGGAGCAGGCACTATCCCAAAGCGACTACATGGCTTAAGGGGCTGAATTTCAGAGCTCGTGGTCCCCCCTCACTCAGTGTGGTTAGTAGAAAGGAGATGAAAGCGAGAGGAGTGGGTTTCATCCCAGCTGTACCCAACCGTGCGCAGTCCACTGTACGCCTCTGAGCCTCAGTTCCTGCACCTGTAAAGCGGGGATAAGGATGCAAACTTTACAGGGTTCCTGGAGCTTATGTGAGGTAAATGTGTAAAAGTGCTCTGCAAATTATAAATCTCTACATCAATAGAAGGTGAGTTTATTATTTTTATTATCATAAATGAGGCCAGGATGCTCTTCTGCTTGAAACTCGTCCGTGGCTCCTCGTTGCCCTTGAAACCCACACTCCTCGTCGTGGCCCACGAGGAGGCATGGTCTGGCCCCTGCCTGCTTTTGTATAACTCCCCTCCCTTGCTGTGTGCAGCCCCACTGGTTCCTTAACCCTTCCTAGAACAGGCCAAGCTCCTTCTAACTCCAGACCTCCGGACTTGCTGTTCCCTCTGCCCAGCACACTGTTCCCCGAGGGTGTCGCATGGCTGGATGGATCGTTTACCTTCAAATCTCAGCTTAAATGTTCCCTCATCGGAGAGGCCTTTCCTGACTACACTCTCCCACCTGGCATAGCACCCATCTCTCTATTCTCTTCCTGGAAATAACCACAAGTCACGATGTTTTTATGAATTCACTTCCTTGTTTATAGTCTTCTCCTTGTAGGATGTTGGCTCCGTGAACATAAGGATCTTGTCGTTCCTTATGGTACCTGGCACATAGTAGGCACTCTAAACAACTGCTGAATGAAATGAATGAATCAGTGAATGATTTGCAGGGAAGCCTGACCTGTTTCCCAAATGGTCCCTCTTCCTTACGCCTGTTTCTGTCTCTCTCTCTCTCTCTCAGATACGGAGACATGGTGCCCAAGACAATTGCCGGGAAGATCTTCGGCTCCATCTGCTCCCTGAGTGGCGTCCTGGTCATTGCCCTGCCAGTCCCCGTGATCGTGTCCAACTTCAGCCGGATTTACCACCAGAATCAGAGAGCCGATAAACGCAGGGCACAAAAGGTAAGCCTGAATCCCGGGGCGGGGCGGGGAGGGGCGGGTGCAGCTCCCGAGGCGGGGCTGGCGCTTCACCGTGACAGCTGTCAATCAGGCTGCCGGGCCTGGAGTTCCTGGGAGAGATGCGCAGACAGCCCCTGGCTTTGGAAGGCAAAGCAGCATCCTGTTCCTTCCTACCTATCAGTGCCCTGCATTCCAGTCCCCAATTATCCATAAACTGATTATCTCCCTTGGGGATATTCTATGCAGTCTGCTTGAGCCTCTCCCTGGCTGTCCCTCCAAGACCTCAGCCATCACCACTCAGCAGTGCCCTGGGCTCATCCCCTCTTTCAGCCAAGAGCTTCCTGGAGGGACATAATCGTTTTGCCATACTTTACAATAGCCTATAGAAAACACAGCGACAAAAATAAATTTGCTGAAAAGAAAAATGAATCCTCTGAAAGGAGGACAGTCTGAGACCATTGAGCTCGGGGATAAGTGGCACAGCAGGCTTTCGTCACCTCAGGGTATCTTGGGGTCAAAGCACAGAGTTGCAATTGACAATCAGGAGCAGAACCATGGGTCCTGAGGAAAGGATTCCGTGGTATCCAGAGTGCTCGGCTTAAGAAGGCAGGGCTGGGTGAGCACCCTCGTTTTCCCGCAGAATGGGGGAAAATGGCAGAAAGCTTGGGTGGGCACCAGACAGAAGCTGTCTTTCCTGGCTGGACCCCATCCTCCATCCAAAGCAACTCACCCACTTAGCCTGCCACATTCACCTGCGTTTTTAGGGCATCTGGCTGGTGAAGGTTCTTGGGTCGTGACTTTTACAATTCCAGAGTCCTGTCAGGAAAGTGGGGTGACAGATAGGGAGTTTTCATCCCTCTTCTGACCTGGGCTGAAACACGGTACCCCATTCAAAGCATCCCAACCTCCAGCGGGTGTTTCTGGGTACAGTGTACAGGGGGGTGGGGGGACCTCGTTGAAAGAGTCGCTTATGGAGGCCTGAGATTTTCTTCTTTTCATTCATTTGTTCCACCAGCACTTACTAAGCACCTACTGTGTGTCGGGCGCTATGCACTGAAGGTGGGTTACTTCCTCACCACATGGTCCCAGCTGCTGGCCTTCCACTCACATGGGGAGTCCCCAAGTAGCAGAGTCGCCGACATATCAGAAAAATCCAGAATTTCAGGACACACCTGTGTATGGTGACTGGAAACAAAGCCACAACATTCACGAAAGCTATTAATAGCTCCGAAATGTTTGATTTGCATATAATAATACTGAATAATGTAGCATATATTATATAATTATACACTATATCCAGCCGGTCCCCACTTCCAGCTTACCCCCTTTTGTGTGCCCGTCCTCACAGCTCCTCCTTTCACTGCTGCCTCCCTCTGCCTGTGCTGAAATCTAGTTTGACTTACCTTGACCTGGGTCTGTGCTGCGGCCAGCCTGCCTGAGATTGATCTTCTGGCTCTATGCTGCCCTCCCATCCCCTCCAGCACCCATTTCCTGCCTCTTCACCCAAGGTCAGGGCTCTTCCACCCCCCACACCCCCCACTTCCCCAC